CAGGCGTGACAGGCACATGCTGGCCTGGGGCTTGCCGCTCTGTGCACACCGACGCCCGTTCACTTACCGGCCCGAAGCCCCCGCCGCTGGACACGTACTCCGTGTTTTTCTCCAAGTCAAACAGCTCTGGCTGCTGCAGAGGGGTCTGGCTGGTGGACAGCCTCCAGGGCTCGGACAGGACCTGGGAGGGAGCAAGCGCGTGTTCCCATGACCCTCTCCCCAGCCCCGCCCTCGCGGTCCCCAGGGGCCCGGGAGAGACAAGGACACCTGCTCGCTTTTGGGCTGTTTCGGGCGGGACACCTGCAGCAGGGGCGGAGCAGGTGAGGACGCCTGGGCTGGAGGGGCCAACACCAGCGAGCGCGTCTTTGGCACAAAAGGTGGCAGAGACATGGAGCTTCGGAACGGGGGCCCTGGGCTGCCAGAGCCGACTGGCACCAGTTCCGGTGAGCCAACTGCTGCCTTTCAGAAATCTCTCAAGCTGCGTGTGAAACAGCCATTCCTAGAAATTACATTTTATCGACTTAAAATGCAGTAAACCCTATTAACACCACAGGTGAGGCACACTCAGGGCTCGGCACTTCTGAATGGTCTCAGTGCATTTTACTGGTATCTGTGCTCTGGGGGCTGGTCATGCCCGTAAGTCAGGAGGGGAGGGCAGAGCGGTCTGGGGCCGAGACCACAGCTCCCACTTCCCACCCTGGGCTCGGCCCGGCCCGGTCCATGGAGCAGTCCCACTAAATCAGTGGCCGCCAACCTTTCGGACCGCCCGGACCACCGGTTGGCGACTGCTGCCCGAACTCACTCCGCTCTGGGTCGGCCCTGAGCCACCACAGGCAGAGGGACTTACTTCCTTCAGGAACGGAGACTCGACGGCCAGATACTTGGACACCACGTACAGGCAGAAGAGGTGGCGGTCGATCCCCGCGCCCGTCATCGCCAGGCGGTACATGTGCTGGTGTTTCTCCGATGCCATCTTGAACAATCGCAGTCTCTGCTCCATCTGAGTGACCAAGGATGGGGCGCGTCAGGTTGTGGGGTGCAGCCCAAGCTCCAAAGGGAAGGTGCCAGCCCTTCTTGGCAGGGGTCTCACAGGATGCTGACCGTCAGGCCACTGGGGTGTCCGGGAGGCATGGCCAAGGCGACCTGCTCAGCGCCCCCCTCTGCCCCCCACGGGCTGCCCCTCCTCCAGGTTGTGGAGGAGGCCTGGGGTCCTGCGTGCAGCCCGTGGTGGCATTACTCCGCTAAAACTGCCCTTCTGGACATTCACGTCTGACCTGAGAGGCGGCCCCAGGCTCCTCTGGGCTCTGCTAGGCCAGTCACAGAATGAGGGAGGCCCGTCCAGGTGTGACCCCCCTCGCAGACCTGGCCATCCGGGGGATCCGCCTCCACACCAGCTGCTCCCTCCTCAGAACAGAAGGCTTTCTGGAACCTAGCGCCCGCCCCGCAGAGCCGAGAGGAGCCGAGCCCAGGGCACGTGTGTGTGTGTGTGTGTGTGTGTGTGTGTGTGTGTGTCTGTGCTCTGGGTCAGGCAGACCCAGGCTGAGCCCACCTGCGTCTGGGTTCCTCTATCTACAAAAATGAGCTGGTAACACTTCCCGGGCCACCACCGGGATGTCCAAAAGCGGTGCACAGGGCACCAGAGGGCCCCCACCTGCTAGGACCCAGTCACCCAGCTCAAGGCCCCCCCGGAGGGGGGGGCTCACCCTTTTCTCACTGCACAGCGACTGCTCCTGCCTCATGCCTCTGCCGAGCACCCTTCTAACTGAAAGGCCCCCGGGAGCCTCTGGTGTAGGAGTTGCAGGATGACAGAGGACGGGCTCAGCCGGTCCGCCCCTGTGTGTCCCCACCTTACGCTTTAACTTCCTGCTCCTGTGAGAGGGTGGAGGGAAGGAGGCGGCGGACATGGAGTCGCCATGAGCAGGTTCGCACAGGATTTCATCAGAGACCCCGGGCGGGCGTTCTTCTAGGACAGTGGTTCTCAACCCTCCTAATGCCGCGGCCCTTTCATACAGCTCCTCATGTGGTCGTGACCCCCAACCATAACATGATTTTCGTTGCTGCTTCATAACTGTCATTTTGCTACTGTTATGAATCGTCATGTAAATATCTGATATGTAGGATGTGTTTTCATTGTTACAAACTGAACATCATTAAAGCATAGTGATTGATCACAAAAACTATGTAATTATATATGTGTTTTCCAATGGTCTTAGGCGACCCCTGTGAAAGGGTCGTTCGACCCCCAAAGGGGTCGCGACCCACAGGTTGAGAACCGCTGCTCTAGGAGAAGCGTGAGAAGCGCGTCTCGTTACCGTTTGGGAGGGGTCC